CATAATGATTCTATGATTCTATGAAACACATTCTGAACTAGCATGCTGGGTCCCTGCCTGTCCTCCCTGCTTGTTCTGTCAGTCTGCTGCTGAAGGATCCTAAAAACCTAAAGACTATATTAGCTTATAGTTGCCACAGCATGATTTTGTAATGCTAGGGATCATTTTCTTTATAGCTTCATGCTGAATCCTCTTTAGAGGTGGCCTCATACACCTTCATTCTGATATGCTTACATTCAACAGGCACATCTGATTGCATCACCCCCTTTGACAATCACACTTTACTTTTACATCTTTGCTACTACCCTGCCTGAATTCAGGGCAACCAATTTGGAGAGTGAAATAATGGCTCACAGTAGGTTGACACTTGACCTGAGAGGCTAGAGCAGTGAAAAGTTTAAAGTACAGTCACCATAACTATGCAAACACCTGTTTGGCAAGAGGTTTCTTCTGTGAGTCAGTGCAGGTGTAAAGATTTTTTTACTCATGATCACACCTGTTGGTGCACGTGTGCCAAAAATCAGCAATAGCTAGATGGAGGAAGAAAAATAAGAAGTTATAGGGCACGCTCTGCTCTCAGAGCAATATAAATCCAAAGTAACTTCAGTAAGCTCATCTGAATTAAACTAACATTACTACAAATGAGTGCAGAATTTGGCAAAGCACAACAAAACACTGTTCAAAATCTCTCACGAAAACCTTACAGAAAGTTACTACTTTCTAGAAAGTTATATACTACATATTGAATATATTAGATACATATATGCATGAAACATACACAGAGGTATAAGCAATTGTGTGGATGTCTAACCTACAAGGGACAGGAACAAGTGTAGCTGGATTTAAGTTATGTTTTCATTCCTAGGACTTAGATTTTGTGAGGCTTAACCCCATTAGCTTTTAAGGGGACTCACAAAATCCAGATGTTATGTGACACATACACACGTGCAAAATATCACAACTTATCCCCACAGATTCAGCTAAGCTCAGAGATCAGCAGGTTTTTCTCACTTTCTTTATGCATTGGTCTCACCCCCCAAGGAAATCCTGGCAACCCTACAAAGCACCTCTTAATTTTTAATACAACCACTACATTCTTGAGGTAACAGCAATGACTGGTTTAAAGTGAATTTATTTAATTTACATCTGCTGAAATGCTTCCACGTGCATTAATTAAGGCTTAATTAGGCTACATTAAGTTCACTTTGCATTGCTTGAATGATATAGGGACACTATAATAGAGTAGCTCTGTGTCATCCAGAACAGGAGCTCCAAAAGCAAAGCTACTGAGAAGTAAAATTAGGAACAGCTCACAACACAACTCATCTCCCAAGGAGGGCCAACTGTCAAAGCAAACTGCATAGCAGCAGTCATTCCAGATGATCTGCAAAATGTTTCTTCACTGTAAAAGACAACGTACTTACATTGGCTCTTCTGAGACTGTTCTGGTCTCTTCCATTTCATGTGCCTGTTTAAACCATGGTAATTTTGCTTCCACAGGATTTTTTTCTAGTAGAGAAAAAAAAATAATTCAGTAATTCCTCCAAAATCAAAGCAATATGTAGATGTTAGCATTATTCATCTTAGCACATCACACTTTACGTTGTCCATTGATATAATGCTTTTGAATTAAGATATACTGGATAATAATACACAATTTACTAGAAAAATTCTTCATGATGTTTGAGCTCCATTCTGACATCCCTATTTACTGAAAGGGTACTAGTAATTCAGTTTCCACTCCTGTTTCATTTTTTACTTCCTTCCCACATCTTCCCCAAATGTAAGTAGTTACTAGTAGATTGTAGCTTGTACCTCAGCATAATGGACTGTTGTCATAACTTAAGCTTATAGCTGAAAAAGAAGCCAGAGCACAGCAAACATACATTGTTCTCCAGATAGACTGGCTTCAGTAGAAAATTTTCATAGAAAATTATTTTTTCTTTGAGTTGGCCAGCTTTCCGAAAATGGGCAATTAATTTAAAAAACAACACTAGCTTCTTTTATCTGTTCGTACATCATACACTGTGATGCTTTTTCTCAGAGTACTGTAAGCCAATTAAGGATCTGTGCCTCCAAACTTAAGTAAAACCCCAGAAGAAGGTTCTTAAAATTTCAGTGCTAGTTTCTACTTCATGGTTTAACCCTGAATATTTTTCTGCTTGAGGAATTCTCTAGAGTCTGAAAACATCCTGAAGAGAAACATAGGGTTGTCTACAGAGAGTTTTCACTTTTTCTATGTAAATCTTTATGATGAGTTGCGAAGGTCTGAAATGCAGCCTTTCAAATAAAACCTGAAAGAATGAAAATAGCACCCACTAAAATTTTCTGAGCCCAGAGGGACATAAATGAGCACGGGACAAGATATACTAGCTTCCCCCTTCATCTTTCTTTTTTCTTTTTACCTTCCCACCTACTGTTTTATGCCTTACCAACTCTTTTAGAGAATATTTGTCAATTTACATCATTGTCACAGAGCTTTTAAATATGCAGAAATGGAGAAGAGAGAAGGAAACCAGTTTGATTATAACTTAATGAACTGATGAGGCCCACTGAGAATGTTGATACATTTAATGAGATGCAAACGAACAAGATCCCAGGCGATACATATGGAGTATCATTCCCGTTTCAAGTATTATTGAACAACTCCTCCTCCCCATGTTGAACTCATTAATTCTCATAATTTGACCAGGCTGTATAGATTTAGTTAGCATGTTCACCTCATGACAGTCTGGCCACATTATCAGCAAAAAATATCAGCAGGGCACTTTTCCTCGCACTAATAATTAAAACGCCTGTTTCTGCCAAGACTGAAATAAGTCCTAGTAAATTCCAGCTTCTGGCATTTCTGAAAAAGGTTACCAGGGGCTTTTAATTCTCTTAACAAAAATGTAAAACAATAACAGACCCAGACAGAATTCCAGTTACCTTTTGGCTTGTAACATGGTATTGGCACGATGCACTCTTCTTTTATGTGTAGTTTAAGTTGCGGATTACAGCCACCGACATGCTGCCCACGGTGGTCAATACACAGCACTACTCGGTAGCGCAAGCCTCGGCCACAGGTCACTGTGCACTGCAGGAGACAATGCAACCATCTCATGCTGTTTCTTTTTTATTCTATTTACAAACACTATTAAAAAGCAAGTTAGAAGTACCGATGATGCCATCACTAAAGTTTTTCCATGATCAGTCAGGTATCAGAGACGTATGAATTTGTTCGTGCATTGCTAGGTGAATAAAGAAAAGGCTGATGCTGGAAAAAATGTCTAAGTTTTGGGAACTCAGGAGATTTCTTGGGGTTCTGTAAAGCTTATCTGATTGGCAACAGTCTGAAACAGAGGTGGCTATGTACTGAGAATACGCTCTCTCACAGTGGTCATTTTCAGTTAAAGCTGGGTCAGACGTGCTGAAGAGCAGTTTCTTCACTGTATGTCAGTGATGTCATTTGGATGAACTAAGGAATTATAGAAGTGTTGAGCTATCTGATTGTATCAGATAACTACAGCCAAGATAAGTTGGCTTTATGTTCTTGTTACTATAATGAAAGGTAAGAATGCTGGAAAATCACCCCTGCAGACATGTCAGCCCCTAGACACACGTGCCTTTAGCTATTACATGCAGTGAAATATTACATTTATCAAGAACTGAGAGACAAATGACCTGATTGCAAAGGCGCCTGACCTCTGGCTCTAATTTCTCCTCTGTGCAAAGCAGGAATAAATAATTCTATATGCATTTTTCTCCACGTAGACATGTTAACATTTTGATTATCAGGCCAAATTACTTAGCATAAACTACTCGTAGTAGGTACTATGAATTATGCTTGCAGGGCTATATTTTTCTGTTAGCCCTGTGCTTACAAATATGTGGTAACACAAGACTAGAGGTTTGCTTTAGAAAACAAGAATAAAGGTCAAAATTACTTTTCAACTTACTTGAGACCATTCCATTGCCACCCATTTAGGACAATCAAACAGATTGCAGGTTTGAATGACTTTGGGCTTAGGGGCATACATGCATTTCCATTCTTCCACTTGTAGTATCTCTCCGTGAATGGTCTCCTCTACACATACAAAACTTCTCCTCTGAATACCACCTCCACAGGAAACTGAACATGCAGTCCAAGGGTTATGTTCCCACCTGGAAAAAGAACTCACATATATTAAAAATAAGGCCATTTTTTATTCTACTAACTTTTATTAAAAGGGGAAAATATTGAATTCAACTTTAGTATCATTAAAACCCACTGATAGTTTGGTTGCTGGATTCTTACCACACATTGAATATAAATACATTGAATTACAGAGCTACGTTGCATTATTCCAGGTTTAAATGCATGTGCAAAATGAGAAGAAAAATAGAACTATAAATTTAAGTACACTTCCCAAAATAACGGAAAACCTTATTCTCAGATGTTAAAGACCCTAAATATACTGAGTTTAATTACTGGAATGATTTTACTTGCAAATAGTCTAAATCATCTAAATAGAATATTTTTCACAGCTAATTTACATGGTCACATATTCTCTTATTACCATTGTCAGAGATGAAGAAGGATATGTACTTGAGACTATATGAAGTCCAAAGAAAACAACAGATCTGGCTGTGCAGACTGAAGGTGTTATGACCCACAGTTGCTCATCATTGCCCACATCATGCAGACTACCCTTAAAAAATCTGTTCATGAAAGAATTTTTATGGGAATTCTAATACTTGCTTTGGGTAAACCCAGCCATTTCAATTCAAACGGTCTTCATCCATAAGGACTGTGAACAAATTATATTGTGACAGGTGCCATTTGGCTGGTCATCACTGCAGTTCTGCAAGAGTTTTCTACCCTCATGAAAATGCCATTGAATGGGTTTGTATTCACACTTTCCAGATTGCTTCAAGCAAAATGCATCTGCTCATCCATTTCAGATGCTTCGGTTAACCTAGCTGATTTCTCCTGAAGCAGGGTGATGCACAGATCAAGAAAGACACAGCCCTGTCAACCAGAAGAGCTGTGGGGTGGTAGCCTCCAACAGAGGAATGACAACCTGGTGGGAGGGAATGTCTTCAAACTGGACATCTACCCATGATCTTGGACCCGGCTACAACAAAGATGGAAATTGCTGCACCATCTGAAGTGAGAATTACATGGAGGTTTTTAGGTTATAAATTCTGTTTCACTTATCTTTTGGTCTTAGAACAAACGTAGGTTTAAGCAATCGCTTCTCAGCAAAAACTGACTTCAATAACGTCCCACTCCTGTCATGTCTAGAGATAACAAGCTTCTATCATAGCATTTGTCTACAGGTTACACTTACCCACACGCAATTTTTCCTCACCCTTCACCTCCTATTTCTTGCTTTCTTTCTACCACCCACCCAAATCAAAGCTAAGCCCTGGGAAACAATTGAGTTCTGCAGCACATCTTACGGTTCATCAATGTCTTGTTAATTTAAAACAATTGCAGGGGTTCAGAAAGGATCACGAAAAAAACCGTCTCCATTATAACAATGGACTCGTCAAGTAAGTACTACAATATCCCACCAAAATCAATTCATCAAGAATAACTTAGCTATCATAAAGGAAATCATAATCTCAGAGTAAATGAAGTGAAGGCCTATAAATAAAAGGTAAATTTAAGTAATTACTACCCACATTCTATGATACAAGCAGGTAAATCAAGGACATTTCCTATTTTAAGCAAATCATTAAACTGCCTACAAAAACGTATTAATCATGCTTAAGCTCAACAGAAGAATGAGTATGAAACATACAGCAAGCTATGGAACATTAACCATATATACTCAAAAGCATTCAGAATAAAGCTGTATGCCCAGACACTGATATCATATCACAAGTCCAAAACATATTTGAAGAGCAACAGTTACACACTTTTCTTTGACTTAAATGAACAGCCAGTGTTAATTCATTTTCTTTAAAAAAAATCAGGAACTAAAGTGCAATTAACTCTTCAATGAATTAGCAGCTCATGGATTTATATATGTAAGGCTCACTGTGCTATATGTAATACTAGCCTCACAAGTGTTTATAGCATAAAGTTTTATAGTTGTTTTTCTTTATCTCATCAGTTTCGAACACACTCCAGATCCCATACTCCCATAAGTATTTTCAAGATGGAGTGAGGTCCATGGCTACTGGGGAAAGGGGGGTCTTGGGCAAGCAGTCAAGGAGATACTTTCCAGAACCCACAGCTGTCAAGGGATCCTCAACAGTCCAACAAGTCTGAAATAAATGGAGGCATTCCAAAAGCTTTAAAAGAAAATTTTCATCCTGGGAAATTTTTCTATTTATTTCAAAAGAATTCTCCATCTGCAAAAATATTTCAGTGGGGCATTTACAACTCCAGCCACAGGAGAACTCTTTCAAGATCTTGCGGTGCGCACCATGACTTTCCCACAACTTCCTCATGTGAATGGGAAAGTTGTGGTAAACACCACAGGACTGCAAAGCAGCCCTCCACATGGCCCGCGTGTTATGTAGGAGGTGTGATGTACGACTGCTGGTCAAGGTGAAGGAGTCTGTGCAGCTTTGCTCAAGCCTATCTACAATACTTTCTTTTTCTGCCTGCTTTGCAAGAACAGTCTTGGGTTAGCATGTAAGAAACAGATAAGAAAAGAAAAAGCAAAAAGAAAAGATGGAAGAAGCCCCAGCAGAACTGGCACAGACTAATGCATTGCATTACTTGACGGGCAACAGGACAGAAACGACACATCCTGCTACACTGAAGCAAGACTTGCGTCTGTGCTGGACCAGATTCACCTCATGATGCAGGTATACAAACTGGCTGTTTCAGCTGCTGTTTTTTTTCAGAAATTTCAGCAAGAAAAAGTGCTTTTGTATCTTCGCTGTGTTTCTTTACACGTTCTTCCAGTGGAACACAGCCTGCTTTCTCTCTCTCCTTCCTGCTGGCACCAACTCTGAGCCCTGCTTGGTCATCTGCTATCTTACAGTTCTTACTCCTGAGCATCACCCAGGAAGACCAGGTTACCTTCTGACAGGACACACTGAGGTGTCGAAACAAGGTGGGTCTCCTTTGTCTGTAGTTCTCAGTGCCTGAAAGAAGAGAATCTGCCCACAGCTTTATCACAGACACAGTCTATCTCACCACAGTGTCATGCACGTGCTGAGCACAGTTAAGGACAGAAAGGGGCATTAAATTTCTCTTCCAACTGGTCTCCAAGCCGCGGTTCAGAAGCTGAAATGCACACGTAAATAAATCGTGCTGAGTTCCAGAGGAGATCTGAAGTACAAAGGAATTGGCAGAAGAAATGGAAAGGAAGAGACACAGAATATAATTATGGAACTTTACAGGATAAAGCTGCAGAGGGAAAAAAATGTGAATCTATATATGAAAGCCAAAGTACATCACAGGACAGCAGATCCACAAGCATAAATTGCTACAGAAATAAACCATGACACTTATATCAGCTGTAATCAGTAGCTCCACTGAGCCGTGCAAGTCTATGATTTCATTCTTATTACTTCATATCTTTACTACTTTAGAAAAATACACATTATTCATTTCATGACATAATAAAGCAGACGTTCAACTCAGATAAATATGCATCTAACTCCATCAACGATAATTCTATACATTAACAGTAAATCTGGCTCAATGCTTTTTAGTCCTAACATTCTTTACAAAACATCTAAGCCTTCCCAAGAAGTTTTACATTCTTGTGATAGATTCAGGTGGGGAAAAAAAAAAAAAAGGCACCAAACTGTGCTCTGATGACTTAATTTTAGGCAATAGATATTCAGACAACTCAGTATCTTTAAAGTGACACGTCAGTCTTGATGTCAATAAATAGAGTGTAGGTCTAAAGAAGGGCAGAAGAATGAGCCCTCTCAAAGGAAAAAGAATTTCTAGAGTCCTGTAACATAGGAAGACCTGTTCTATAAAAGAATACATTCATTGCATACATTTTCAAAATAAAAACCTTTCAAGACAAGAATTCATATGCGCATTTTAAAGGAGATGCTCTTCTCAGCGCTACAGCAGGAGAAGGCTTAGGGGGACAACTCTATTCAAAAGTCTTCCACGTTGACATCTTCAAGAAGAGCATTTTAACCTCTTACTGTTAAGGTAATCATCCAGAACACACTGAAATAAATCACAAGCTTCAAAGGTGCGTACAGGATTGTCATAAACTTGCTTCCCCATATAGCAAAAAATTAGAAGATGTTCCATGATCTTAGTGCTCAAATAGTATATTTGCAGTGAAAATTGTGCTAATGCTGACACACATGCTCTTCTGATTATACATACCGAGGAAGTGGTTGGAAGTGATCATAGGGCATGATTTCTTTAAATCCATCACTGTCAATAAAATAAATACTGCATCATTATTTCTCATACCTGAGACTGTACATCAAGTACATACTCTTACATGATCATGCTTAAAGTAAGCAATTCCCAATGTGAAATGAGGGAATCTTACATTCATTACACATTACCCTTGTGGCAAATGACTCATGTAATCTTACCTCTTCTGCATGGATAGATTCACCATACAGTTTCTCCAATTCATACCATCAAAAAAATATTAAATGAGCAAGTCTTAGTGGAGAAATTTATTATCAGTGATCCTTTAGGTCTGTGCTACTTTATTAACAAGAAAATAGTTCCATACTTACATCTCTAACAAAGACTGCTGAGGACCATGAGTGGTAGTGAAATAAATGCATCACAGGATTAGTCCTAGATAGGTCCTGAATGGTGCTTAGGACCCTTCTAGAGTTGTTTATTTGAACTGCACAGCACAGAGCAGGCATAAAGCCTTACTTCCAATACTAAGAAATACGATATTATATCCAGTAGTACTTCCGTTTTTCTGTCTGTATAAGCTACATTTGCAAGGAAAAAGATAATTACGCCATTTCTTTCCCTTTTTTTTTATTTTCCGATTCCAGCTTTGCAACATTTGGCACCCGTTGCCATTAAGCATTACTGAAGTCCTACCACTCCATATAGTGATCAACTCTCCAGGAAAAAAACTTAAAAGTCTGCACATCTATAACTGTTAGAGGTCACTATCAACAATTATGTTCAACAGGAATGAAAGGAAATGGACAGTTTAGCTATAGGAAATGAAATCCATTGAGAGTGTTTCCTTTTCTTCTTGCATATAACTCTAGCTGAGCCAGCTGGCATATTAATGTGAGGTTCTGGGACTTGATACTGTGATGTTATTTTAAGATTCTTTAGCACAGCCAGGAAACCTCACCAGACAATCCAAAAGTTAGTTTGACATACTGTAGTGCAATTCAATACAATTTATGTGTACTATAGCCTTATAGCCTTTATAATGTGGCAATAATATTCTGTGGTATTTGTACCACAAGTATATTTACTTTGAATTATTTTTTTGGTTTTTGGGGTTTTTTTTGTTTGTTTGTTTTAATTCTTAATGTAAAAAAAAAAAACAACCACCAAAAAACCACCAAAAAAACCCCCCTAAAAACAACACCCCACCGCCTCCAACTTTAAAAATTGTCAACTCCACAGTACAAATGAAGAATGAAACTTTTATGGTAGGCAGATGAATAAACCAAGTTAAACCATGTGCAAAACTTCTACACTGAGTGAGAACTGGACCTACTATCTGTCTAATGAGAAATCCTGAATGGCAGCATCAATAAATCCAAGAGCAGGCAAAAAATCTGTCCTCCTCACACAACCTCACAAAATCCTTGTACTAGTGATGTACCACTCAGCAAAAAACATAAAGTAGAACTAGTCCTTGAACATACTGGTATTTACGATATCTCTGTATAAAGCAAAGTCTCCTATTCTGCAACACTGAAGAAGTACTACAAATCCATTGGCAGTGGTGCCAGACATCAGCCTTTAATGCATGCAATAATCATCCAAGATTAAGTAGCCTCAAAGAAGAAAAAGAAATGAAATTCAGTAAATACAATTGCGCCTTCCTTAGTCACTGACTATACCACACACTTAAATTTGTCATACAAACCTAGAGGGGCAGGGATCCATGTTGCATTCCTTTAGCTTGGGCTTTGGTTTCTTGTTTTCTGGATAGTAATGGCAATAGTGGTCAGGAACAACACGCTTCAGACGAATATCCACGCATTCAGCTGAATTAAGCTGATAACCTAATGCAGAAGCAAAGTTAAATTTTGGTAGTGGAGATAAATTAAAGCAGCCTTATTCCCCACCTCAAATAATGCACTGCCCATTGAATTAATTTCCTGTGTTACTCTTCTTTGGTTTGCTTTTAAACAAGGAAACACTGCACAGGAACATGCAGGACCAGATCTTCATTTAAGGCAATTCAGCGTAACAATGACATTAACCTATCTTAACACTAGGTGAGACTCTGGCACGTTATTCTAGTAATATTCTAAGTATAAGAGTAAAAGTATACAGATTTTTATGTGACGCAGGAATACCTGTACTGGAGCAGCTCACCTGTCACAGAGACAACTCTACAAAGTCATATGGTTCTACTACACGTTCCACAACTTATAACTGCCCTCCCCCAAGGAGGAGTTACCATGTATGTTAGAGATCTATACTACACAGTCATGCATGCTAAAAAAAATAAATACCTAAAACAGAAAGCCAGAGGAATTGAAGATGAGATCCAAAAACATTGCTAAGTTAAACTGTAGAAAACCAAGAAATAGTTTTAAGAACATTCCTAGTTGAAGAGCCAACAAAAGAAAACTTGAAGTAACTACTTGGTGGAAAAAAAAAAAATGGTGTGGAGAACAGTTACAAGAAGGGATCTGGGTTTTATAAACCTCTAGGTTGCTTTTTTGGCTAAGAAAAAAAGACTAATTCAAAAGAGTTGACTTGGACTTAAAGTGAGGAGAGGAGGAGGATGTTCTGGTATGTGCAAAGAAAAAAAGTTCAAAACCACAAGAATTAAAATCCAAATAGAGTCAATAAACTAACAGCACAAGTCCCAGGGTCCACGGAAAATGCTAAGTATCATATATCAGTGGCTTCACTTGTGTGTCTCTTGGCTGATTCAAAGTGTCATCATGCATGAGAGTGATACCCTTAAAGAAGAACTAAGCAGTTTCAGTGCTCAAAGCATGTATTTTCCAGATCTTGTAAGTACTGAAAAGACCAAGAAGATACGCCACTTGCAAACAAGATAAACACAATATTTAAACATTCTTGGTCATTCAAGCTTGACTGCGCTTTCCGAGATGCCCGTCACACTCCTCCTTCCCACACATGGAGATCAGAGAATTAAACGTAGAGGAAGCATCCACGAGAGGAATGGTGGTGTGCTGATTCCAAGTTTCTGTTGTGAGGAACTTTTTCTTTTACTGCCAGTAAAAGACGCCAAACAGACAATCTGGATCCTAAATCCACTTTAAGATAACACGTTAAAGCCAGGCAGCTGCAATACAACTTCCTCGCATGCCTCAGTAATATGCCATTCTTAATGCTACTACTTTCACAAGTAAGCAAGTAGCTTAGTTTCTGTGCTTCTTCAGTTACTGGCCTCTCTCAGGACTGCCATCAAGAGTGTCAAGCCCCACTGAAAAAGGTACCAGTTTCATATTATAGACATGTAGCTACAAAGTATGCTTGAAAACGCTGGCTAATTTCAGAGAGATTGACACATAGCTCTAATTTTCAAACCACAACACCAGTCTGAATAAGGCTGGATTTGAGCCAATAACTTTGAAGGTAAATACGTCCCTTGAGTTATCCACTGTTTACATGCAGTCCTCAAAAATAACTGTGATGTTTTACACTCCTTCCCTTGTCAGACAGGTTAGGGAAAAATTCATAAACACAGTGTGATGGAATCATCAGAGGATATGTATTGCCACTCACAGTTCTAGCAAGAATCACACTTCATGAGGCCAAGTATCTTATAAGATACAGTAGTTTCCTGTGGGACTACATATTATACACATATAATGTCTGCATTTCAGATTAAAGTGAGGTGCAAGTGCCAAAACGGATGGTCCGGCAAAAAATCCCCAGACTCTGCTTGTGCTTTAAACATCTTTCACTCTTTTTACTTATGTCCCAAGTAACTATTTAAACCATATTTGTACTCTCCAAGAAAATCACTACACCAGCATCACTAGTATCTCAGTGTGTTTTTCAGGCGACCTGGGTAATGCTAGTTGAACTGAAATAGCTATCTACAATGTCAAACACTACTCCTACCACGAGGTCATGCTTTTTGCAGAACCAGACATGACAAGCAGTGGGCTGGGCTGGATGAGCAGTAGCAGAGCTGAGCTGCACTTCATCTAAGCATTATATAAGTTTTAGTGTTTAAACCAGAAGTAGACACTACAGCACACTATTTTCTGCTTTAATTACCATCAGGGTTAAATATCTAAGCTCAGAAAGTCAAAAATATTGATAGTAGCTGTTCTTTAAATTCTCTCTACTTATTCTGCTTTCTGTGTAATTAATTTCTAAAGTAAATGTTCTAAAACTCTTCCTCATGTCTACTACTGTGGCCAGAAATATCTTCTTCCTTCATCTCTTGATTATCCTTATTTTAAAATCTCATTGTATGTCTTTTCTTACTTCCCCAAAACATCCTTTATGAACCGTCATTTTCCACTTTGAATGTCATAGCTTTATTTCTTAGCCAAAGTTCTTACTCAAATGATCATTCCTTATGGAAAAAACATGACTTCCAGTAATATAAGGTATAAAAAAACCCTATGTTCATACTAAACCAACCAACTTACCTGCTACTCTGTCATTTGTTTTTCTGAAGAACCAGCAGTGTGCAAAGAAACACAAACATTTAATCAGTAAAAATGCAGAACAAGGGTTGTAAATCAGCCACTTTTAATAATCAGCTGTAAACACTCCTGAAATATTGCCATTTCTTACCTCCTCCACATGTCACTGTGCAGGGGAAGAACTCTGTTTGTCTCCACTGATGACTGATGGGCTGATAGAAAAAGAACTGAACCACACTCTCTTTTGATCCAGAGTACCTGGTCTGAAGAAATTTCCATTACAACACATGTGTATACTGTACTCCACTGTTCATGTCATTTCAAAACATAATTCACATATAATAGCAGCACAAAGAGTAATACAATAACAGGCATGAAACCTCTAGAAAGTCTAGAGTAACAATTAAGTTTCCAATAGTCAAACACTTGTAAGTTGCTTTGTTTTTCAAAGTATTCAAGGTACTAATGTGACTATTTGATTGTCTATCCTTGATCGGCAAAGTTCCTAACTGTATTCTTCTGTCTTATCTCTTTGTTAAGAAAATTTTTAAAATTTGCTGGAGAGGGAAGTCTATAATTGATCTAAGCGCACTGGTTCATGTTCAGGTAAGTCTAACTGCACATATGATATTGGAGATGCAAAATAAAAACTACTGAAAGTCTGTTTCTACAACATGATAGATAAAGCCAAGTGATGTGATTATACTGAAACACCTGTCATTTCCAATGGAAAACCGTATGACTATCTTCCTTTGACAGTCAAACACTGCTATGTTTCTAGATAGAAATTCCTGCACGTATGGCACAAGCCATCAGTATGTGGTCTGCGTAGAAGAGAAACGTAAAAGGATTAGAAATGGTCAGTAGCTGGATTAGCAATGTCTAAGGGAGACTGTAGGGTGCTGCTGGAAGCAGTGCTCAGATTCAGTAGGTGGCAGTCTGCAATTGGATTAACACCAATCCACTGCACAGGATCACGCTCTTACTCTTTCAGTAATATTTAAAACAAAAGTCCTGGCCACATTTACCATTAAAGATCCTGTGGTACTTTCCACCACAGCAAACACATTAACTTCGTAACATTTTATTTTGTTTGGATATACTGGTCTGGACTGTAATTACGATTCCTTATTTGCTAGCCAAAAGATTTTGTGGTATTGCTACAACCTGATGAACAGCCACCTACTCTGTTGCACATACTTGCAATATCTTTGTAGATTTGTACATACACACATCCCACCTTGATAATGAAATCTGCTCCAAGAGGTCCCTGGATCTTTATGATTTCCCTGTCTGTACTCTTCTGAAATTCAACAGTTGTATTTTCTATGACAATTGTTCCAGGAGCATCGAAACTGTGCTCTCCCTTGTCTCCTTGTAGTGTCTTTGACTCTATAACTAAAGAAGAAACATACAATTAGTAAACTTAAACAGAATATTTTTTATTTTCAAGGAAGTCAGAAAGTACTGTTTAGAATTTTCCCTGCAAGTTACAGCTGTATATGTGCACTAAAAAACCCACACAGAATATCTGTGAGAATATTAGCTGCTTTAGATTACAGGCTGATACATAATTGCATGACATGTCAGCACAGGAATATCTGCCTGAACACACTATTCTTTCATACCAGAAGCACTTCTGAGAGTTTTTCCTACACCAAGTGCTCTATGCAGTTATAAAACAATAGACTCTGCAGGGCAAGCTGAAAGAAACTCAAAACAGACAGAATCAATATACAGAAAAATAACTCATACTTCCATGCAACCCAAAAGCCTAGCAATTTCAGCAATCAGTCTCCAGAGAAGCCTGAATTGTGTTAAACTCACCAAACACTCTACTCAATACCTGTATCACTCTACCCATTCCAGAGGTCATTAACTCAACTTTGAGTATTTCCCATGTGAGCAAAAAACACAGCCAGGAGGTGGGTAGCTGCAGCACTGCCTGAAGGATGTCCTTTCTCAGAACAGGTGGTGATGAAAACCCTTTTTGAGCTGTTCTGCACTCCTTGGGAACAAATTAAACTAACAGCCCACAACCTCCAGAAGACAGACAAAGCATTTTAGAACTGAGCCACTTCCAGTAAACTGATTGAACTATATGTAGACAAAGCTAAAGGAAGATATTCACAATGAAGGCAGAATTTTGGGCTTCTCATAATACAGCGTACAAGCACAGCAAGATGCATGACTTGAAATACACTGGTCTGGTTACAATCTATCAGAGCACTGGATGAGAAAGGCATGAATCTCAGATGAGCTCAAAGCTAGTTAAAAGGAACCTTTAGACAAGCTATAAATACCCTCTTTCTCCAACTACCTTGCCTTTACTTTAACAGAGTCACCTAATTCAGGCTAGATAATCTAGGTTAAGAGCATCTGTTTTTACCTGCACTGAAAACACACTCTGAATGCTGCAGTCCATCATTACTGTTTTCTTCCTTAAGATCTTTTACAATACAAATGCATTCTGGAGCACTCCCAACAAAGACAGTGAAGAAATTGTAGAAGAAATTAACTGCCTTGAAAAGGTACCAACATTATCCGAAGTTTCTAAGCATTAGGTTCCACTACGCTCATAGGTATAACAAAGATCACACACATGACCAGAAAGAAGTTTAAGGAAGGATATATTCTAGGAAATGACATTATGCTGATCATAGGGTAGGAATCTAGCAGTGAATCAAATGTACTTTCTCAAAAAGAAAAAACAAATCTCTGGGAACCAAAGTGCCCCATTGTCCAACATGTTTCCATTAGGAACAAATCGATACAAACAAATCATAGAAAAAGCAACAAGTATTTAGACAATTACTACATATTCTTGTTTGTCATTTTAATGGAAGTTTTCTTTCCTGATTGCATTACAAAATAACCTTTTAAATATCCGGAATTCAGCATTCTTGGATTAAGCTTCTGCAAGCCTTGACCCCAAACTTACACTGCTTAACAGTAAATATTAATGCATGGTGCCTGTTATTCTGTAATTTCATTGAGTAAGAGTCAAATCAGCCAATCTCAAGTACTTCCAACTCCACATAAAGTCAGCGGGATCCCTCAGGAGTAGAAGACCCCTTTGAAACTAGCATTTAAGACTGCAAAGCAAGACATCTGGCTGTTGCAAAAAGATGTTAAAGATGCTAATTTGGTGACCTGAGCTGCATTACTTTACAGTCTTTATGCTAATTTTCTTCATAAAAAAATAATTTTTATATTTTTCTAAGCACAAACCAAAAATATTGTTCAGCAACCAACAACATGGTAACTCACTGAGAGCGCACATACATTTATGTTAGAGCTACACTAGATTTGAATCCAAAGCATGTGCTTATTTGTAAGGTCCAGCTATAGAGTGATGGCCTGTATCTCTGGAGGTCATGTCAGTGAAACTTAGAACAGCTGCGCAGATTTTCCCAGAAGTGTGTCACACAGGGAGATGAAGAGCTACCCACAGCACAACGGATAACCTCTGATGCAATATGTTCCTGCTCAGTAGTATCTAATGCTTGTCATCACAGGCTTCTCCAACAGAGTGAAATCAAGCATCTAGTGTATGTAACACATACATAACATAATAATTCTTCTTAGGGAGCAGTTCCCCCCCCAAAAAAATACTTTATTGATTTCAGAGCAGTAGCTGGGAACAAAGGTTTCACCAACTGGATTACAGGCAAGGTTTAGAAGAGAATTCACCAAACATTTATTTGTTCTGCAGGGTCCTGTAACCCTGGAGAGGTGGGAAGTTTGACTTCAGGAGTAAGCTGCCCCATCCTATGTTAGGGAAGCATTTCCTTGAGAGGTCTTTAGGACTCCAGATGTGCACAGTCATAAGGACAGGAAACTCTCTTGAGTGCTCAGCTGTTTCTGTGCCTAACAAGATCGCTGGTGCCAAAGACCTATAACCGTCTCTCTGTGTTACTTCTTTTACCTTGATAAAAAGAACATTTTCCCCATGGAAATGCCTTGCCCAGCTGTGGATGGAAGACCCACCACAAAAGCCTCCCATAGTCTCAGTGGCAGGCAGGAGCAGGGCAGCGTGGCATGGGGAACCCACTCCAGATGCCTCACTGTGTAGAGAGATGCAGTGAAGAATTCCTGGGGAAATAGCTCCTGCTCCAAGTGCAAGAAGCAGCAAATCATGTTGCTACCCAAAAGCTCTTTGTTTTCCTTGCGATTCATTTGTAGATAGCACAATACAGGGGCCCAAAGTAAAACATGCTTTATTTTCAAATTGCAAGCAACATTGTCTTCCTCTTAGCACCCATCAAAAGCCAAAGCAGTGCACAGATGTATAGCTAAATACTGTCAAGTAATGCAAATCATTGCAAGTGGAGAAGAAATTCACAAAAAGGGAAAAAAAAAGTTTCAGTTCCTTTTAGTGAAGTTTAACCTCTCAAAGTTCATGAACTTAGTTATCTAGTATTAGCCACTTGTAAAAATATTAGCTTCTGGTTTTCCTGTTTCTTCTGCTGGAGGATTATTTTCAGGGAACTTTCAGTCTTTCTTTTGATTCTAATGCTCTTACAACAACTGCTAGCAAAGCCATAATACAGTTCAAATCAAAACCAAAACCAACACAATGAAACATTTTATTCACAACCGTTTTTGTACTAATTATTTGGTTATTTTCCACCAAATCATTCACAAAACCCAAGCAGACAGAAGTACAAGAGGGACCTATCTGTAAAAACCCAAAGTAACACCTTTGCTCTCTGATGAATCTGTTGCCTGTCTTAAAGTGTCTATAACACAAAACCAAAACACTTATCCTTACCAGCTACACAGAAAGGCAGTCTTTCCTAAAACACTAAGCTGCTTACTGTAAAACAACGTTCAGAGCATTTATTTGTTTCAAATCTGTTATGCGCTACATCTCCAACCACATTTCCATTTTTGATTAATCCATCAGCTGTGTTTCCCTGGAACAAGAGCAGATCATTAAGCCCAGAATGAAGCACCAAAGAACACAAGATCACGGGAAAAGTGCCAGACAGTCCATAGTGCTCTTCGAGCATTTGCTATTGCTGCTGACTTTACTTAAGTACGTATGTTAGCAAATACATACTGGCAACAGGAGGCAGTATAAAATTCTACAGTAAGTAGTCCCTGCTCCACCTGTTAAATTCAACTCCTTAAAAGCCAGGAAGAATGTCTCTGACAAATGAACCTTGTAATTGTAGGTGATTATTTTTTAAATTCTGCCTTTAATCATACCAGCACACCCACACAGAAGTCAATGAAGTTGCAGACCAAAGATTACTCGATATTTTCTGTGAAGTGACAAACACCCACAAACATACATGCAGTCAGAAAGGTGGACAAGCAAATTTTCCCAAAGCACATCCCCTAGAACATCGGTTCTTGAAGATCTGGTCAGAAACAATTTCCACCTCCCTCCTCACAACAGTGCTCACTTGTTTTTCACCTCTGCCGTCTTAATTTTAGGTAACAAACGTCTAAATCCTCACAGACTTGCAAACAGATGTGCTGGGGGAAGTGGTTAAAGGAACATTTCACAATTCTTGTCCAGCTAGAGAACTAACTAAAAAAGGTAATGCCAAGCCACAGCTTCTTTACAGAACCACCCTGGGTAGGAAGCCAGGAGCACTCTGTACTTAGTTACTGAGTTGCTGCTGCATTCCTCAGGAGCTTTCCAGAAATCCCCCAGGAGCCACTGAATCTAGTACTTTTTCCTCATACAAAGCTGAAACAACAACTTCCTTCTGCAGAACTACTTAAGAAAGACCAAGACTCCTGACCTGAACTGATCACGATCACTCCTTCATACATCCCTTGCCACAGTTTTACATGAATATTATTTATTTCAAGATAAGTTCAGCTTTGTACATTGTTGATATGAGTGTTATACTTAGAAGTTATTGTCATTCCGGAGCTGCTCTAAAGTGGAAGTCTTATTCCATTTTTTCTTTGAAAGAAAATGACAATATATTCTTCAAAGCAAACAAATAGATGAGTAATTTTCAAATAAAATGCATTTTTGTATTCTGTTTACATATCTCCGAGCAGTAGAAGTCCTTTTTATTCCTATGATTCAGACTAAGTTGTCCACTTTTACTAATAAAAAATTGCTTAAAATGTTAAATGAATGATTTATTTCATTGCTTGGTATGGCAGTCCCAATTATAATTGAAATTATTAGTTCTTTATGTAAAGTAGGCCTATGCGTAAAGAAATTACCATAGGTACTACGATCAGCGTTATAGAAAATATTAGGAAATAAACATCTAACAGAATACCAAACTGTTTCTCATAGATGATATGTAACAATCAAAAGTATTACAAGGAAACAGGAGTTGTGTAATTAACTTTACGTATTTTGTTTACCTTACCTCATTTTTACCTAGATTACTTTTCCTTGAATCCTGCTCGCTGACCAAGTGTGACTTCAACTGGACTATTTACGCTATCACAGGCTCTTCAACAGAAATCTGCTGCTGGGTTATACGAGTGCTATTGATTCCACACATAATCCTTTGAAAGCAATTTTGATGTAATTGTTTGCATGCAGTTTAAGAGTGTACTGTATTTCAGATGTCTTATATATGAACCACTTGGTTTAAATAAATTTAGAAACTAGCACTGTGTATGCTATTTCTTTTTACTAAGTGAACTTCCAGTGCTCTGTAGGACTATCTCCAGGCTGGATATTAAAGATGGGAAGAGGAATCAGGGTCATGATCTTACCCATATTCCCAAAGTTAGGATGAGTTCAGATACAAGGTTCTGGTTTTATCTTCTGCCTATGAATAAATATATAAAACAGCTCAGTCATACCAAGGTGTGCTGGTCCTTTTAGGGTAATTCTCACACTGCGACTCCCATGTGGTACAGCAATCACGGTTTCTTCCCCTAGGAAAATTAAAGAACTGTTTTAGAAGTTATCTTGCATCAGGGAATTTGTACATCACATAACTAGACTGAAAACTGTCAAATGTGTCTACAAAAATATTTAACAGGTTTCACAATTTTTCTATTAAAAATAATCATATGTTATTTTATGAAGTACAGTATATTGAGTCTGTTTGCTATGCTATGCAACTATTAAGACCTACGAATGGCCTTGTAAATCTTTTTTGCTATTGGAAAATTATTTGCTATTAACAAAAACAACTGAAATGTCAGTAGTGTATTAGGAACATATTTACACCCTGTTGTCCTAGTTTTATTTCCTAATCACTGAATTGACATAAGGAATCTGCTAAGTAGTACTTCCCCCTTACAAAAATCTGCAGCTGTTCAGTTTCATTTTGCCCACACCTCATTTCCTGCTGCAGGTCACAACTTTAATAAGTGGCAGGACTTACAGGAAATAAATCATCTACTTAACACTAACCCTTAACCAATTATAGACCAGTTAAGAGCAAATATATATTAGCTATAATGTATATGTTATAACAGAGTGTCTGCATCTAACTTACCATATAAGATCATTCCTTCCAGTAAGAGCCTTAATTTAAAATTAACTATAAACCAAACCAGCCCTGAATAGGACACGTCAATACAAAACAGCTTTTGGCTGCCTGAATGGCCTCTTCATGTATAAATGTACAACACACTTACTTCAGTGCATTTTACAAAGGCAGAAAGTTATTACTTTCCATTTCAAATGTAGGAAATCTGTGATTTGCCCAAGCAAACAGTCAAATCAATAGACCAGAGCCTTTCATGCCAACAAGAGCACTGCTCTCAGAAAAGGGTATGCACAGTGCACAGCAGGGATATGCACAAAAGGACGAGAAGTGTCCAAGCAACAAAGTACCAATGTGCTGTCTTCCATTTCCATCACAGCTCAACTGCAAATCATCTTTGAGGCAAGGCCTGCAAACATGGGCCCATTGCAGGTACACCCCACAGAGGGTGCTTTGTTCAGTGACAGCATTAACATATATCTAGGGGCTGGTATAGAGGAAATCCATTTTTGTAAATTCAAAAAGTGAGTTGAAGGTCAGTGATACATTGGTTCCAGAATTACTCATACAATATTTAGAGGAAGAATATTTGAGTTTAGTTTTAACTAAAAAACAGTTGAAGAATATTTCTTTCCACTTTAAACCAGACCCTTTTATAGTAGATGCTAAATTATCAGCTTCTGGTTTACATCTCCTTAGCATAAGTATGAAATCCTGCCAAATGTTCAGGATACTTCAAGCAAATGCTGCAATTATTTTTTCTGAAATAAACACCTTCTTATGTTACAGTTTTTATATCGCCAATTTCTAGGAAGGTCATTTAAATATAACAATTTATTTTGGATGTAATAAAATATGATCTTTATTAATTTCATACTTGGGTATTCCACCGGAGTGAAAAATACTACAGCAAGAACAATAATACAGCTAAGGAGCCCTGGAAAAAACATTAACTACTGAACCACTTAATATCTTTTTGCATCTTGGTTTTTCATCAGACAGATTGCTAAAGATAGCCAGAAGGTAGTGGATGTGTATATCTTTAAAGTAAGGAAATAACTACTGAATTCATATGTGCTCTACAGTATTTGAGAGAAAGCAGGTTTGAGGGGCCCATCTGTCCGTACTTGGTCAGGAATTGTATCCCGTCTTGACAACCAACCAGCAGTTACAATACAAAACCTCAAATAAAAGTCTGATTATGACCAGTTCTGAATACATGCAACTGCTGTTTTGAAGTGGAACCAAGGGCGCTCCATGCTGAATGGACGAGGTCCAGATTTGCAGATGTGCAGAGATGTGTAGGACTGCTCCTCTTGAGAACAACCAGGGTCGTTCTGTGGTGCTTCCTCCACCTCCTTACAGCAAGGTCCGCTCGCCTCGGCAGGCCTTGTTGATCCCTTTTCAGGATGCTTCACATTCCTTCAGCAGTACTACAGACATTCCACCCTCCCCCAACCGCTCTCTGATATCGTCTAAAAGTCTCATGGGGGTGCTAAATTTGGTGTTTCTCTGCAGTGGAGACAATATTACCAGAAAGTATTTTATTTGCATTAGAGGAGATGACTAAGTTCACCACCACAGCAATGTTCAACCTCTGCAGCCTCAGAGACCTGTCAAGAAGTCTGACAGCATGAGATTCTTGTAACCTAACTGACAAACTATGACCTAGTGCAGTCTTTCCATGAGATGAAGTAAATTATAGGCAAAAATAAAAGTGAGATTTTCGGAATCCTGAACAGAGATGGGGAATTGGAAGAAAATGGGACAGCGCTGACGTAAGGGACTCCACCTTCTCCTGAGGACAGCTTTAACTTCCTACTAAACAATAGTTATGATTGTCCAGGTCTGGCTCCAAAACTATATATTCCAAAGGTCTCTGGTTCTCAGTTGAAGCATATAATTCATATTGTTAAAGGAACGCAAGGCCCTGTAAACCTGTTTAAAAATGGTTAAGCTGTACATTTCCCATTAAATCTCTTTATATATCTTTGATATTATACTCTTTATATATCTCTGAAAGTCAATTGCTGACCTTTCTCTAAAGCTGAAAGTAAATAAGCCCAAAATCATTTGGAACATGCAGAAACACGAGATGGTAAAATGTGATTTTAGAGTCATAAAGCTCACCTTAAAAACTGAGAAACAGGTGAGAGATTGTCTCTCTATTCTAGCACTGCTTCCACTGTAGGGATTCCCAGGGATATGTGGGTCATCTTTCTCCAGCACCTGCATGAAATGAGCTTTCTGCTCTTACCTGGGGACTCTCTGAGCAAATGTGTGTGCACACACTACATGCAGCATCTGCTGATTAAGCTCCCGGATTGCTTTTACTTTAGATGGCAAGGTTTGAACCTGTTTCTATGGTGTTAATGTGGATTTAGATTTTGGATTTCAATGAGAGCAAGATCAGGCTCCCTGCTATGGTAAGACTGGGAGCTAATCCCCAGGATCAAAATAAAGCAGCCACATTCCTGAGCTCAATCCAATTCAGCAGGTTTTATTTATTTTTCCATATGGGCCATGGTGGACCCATTTACTGTTTCACATATGGGCCAGTTGGGATTTTCCCCTCTCTCCTCTTACAGCAGGGCAGAGGGTTTATTTCAGGCCTATAAAAACTGTTTCTTTCCATGTATTTGCTCAGCACTTATCTGCTGGCCCTCCAGTTCTGATCGAAGGCCCGTGTGCTCTCAAAATACAAAGAACAATAGTCCAGGAACAACTACCAGTGCGAGGGAATTAAAAAGCTCAAAATGTTTGGAGGGTTATTGCAGCGGCTTCCCTCATCCACTCTAAGATAACATAAGGTGTAATTTCAGAAGACATCGGTGCTGGGTTATGTGCTGACCTGCCTAATGACAAGAACCTGTGCAAAGTCAAATACATACTCTTTAAGAGACACCTTTCAGTGCTACTGAAAGCAACAATTATATGTCTTGACCCTAAAAGTCACATTGCAAAATCTGTATAGGGACATCCTTTCTGTCCTTGAGCCCTTCCCTCTCCAATCTCACACCCTCCCAACTCTTCTGTACCTCCATCCCTCTGTCCACTGGTCTTATGACTCAAGGATGCCTCCTCATCTGAGAGCGCCACTTTGCACTGTTGAGTAAGTATTTCTAAGGTGTGGCAACCTGCTTTTGAGACAAACACTGTGGCCTCAACTCATTTTAGTTACTTACTTCTTTCTACTTCTGCACACCTCTTCTAAAATTTGTATGCTCTGGAGAAAAATGTACAAAAGACACACAGTGGCAGCGCATCAGGAAAATGGATCTCAAGGAAATGCAGTGCAAAATAAATAATGAAATAGTCAATGTTGTTACACAGGAACTTCTTCAAGTAAGGCAAGAGAGATCAGGAAAGTAAAGAAGGAGGCTTCATACTACCTATAACAGCCCCAAGTAAATCAACCAAACTAAACAGATCTGTAGACTGAAATAGTTGGTGCTGAAGACCCAGCATCCACACAATACACACTGCAGGTACTTCACTTTGGACTAACTCTAGTCTGACCCCATGAACTGCATATTCAGTAGCTGCTGGAGAACATTAGGTGTTTTTCTGGGGTACATCTTCTGGTTCAGCCTCATCCAAAAAGATCCAGTTTATGCTTTCCAAGACCACTCCATGATGTGAACTGATGGGCAGTATGCTAGGACCATGATGAAATGTACTTCAAAAATCATACTCCTTATCCAAACTGAAATGCTAATGTATTGGCATTCTATCCCCCCCCCCCCCCCAGTTTTCTTGCCAAACCAGTCCCAGTTCCCTCTCCTGGCGTTACATTCAGTTGATTTTTCCCTTTACTCTCCAAACATTTCTCCATCTCCCACCCCAGATTCCTTATCTAATCTCAGTCTTCCGCTCATCCTCTTTTTCCTTGACCCAATGTATCTGTACAGACAGTCCTAGGTTTTCCTCCCACTTTCTCAGATCTGTCTTTCCTTCACTATATGAACTAATGTCAATTTTTTTCTGTTCAGCTAGTCTCATCTTGTCTTTCCCTCTCCTCACGTGATCTCATCACCCTCGGTCATAATTTTAAAGCTCGGGACAGTCAGAATCTCTCTGCAGAATCTCTTCTGTAATGCCTGAACGTGAGGCAGGGGCATCACAGAGTTCATTCCATCATACCCATTCTACACTGCAGCAAAGTAGAAAGCAAGAGCAACCTCAAGGACACTTTTAATAGTTTAGCTCTGGAAGAGCAACATGTCAATTCATTCTAAAGAGATTGCACACATATGATCTGTTTGCAGTTAGGACACGTAACAAGCTAGAGAACACTTAAAAGGACGAGTTTTCAGAAATGTCAGCTCTTAACATCCAAGAAGCCTCTACAGAGCCTGAAGTAAAACGGTGTTCTTTTGTTTTTTTGAAGGGTTGTAGTAAAATATGTGTTGATGTTCACAGATATTGCAAAAGACTTGT